ATATTATATACATAGTAATACATATATGTGTGTGGTGGGCTTAAATGTAAATACATACATATATTTAGGGACGGAGCAGGGAGAGTACTCTCCACCCCTGCTCCTGGACTAGGCACTTCGGTTCGAGTTATCCGAACCGAATCGAAGTAGTGGTTCGGTTCGGTTCCAAACCAAAGTACCTATCGGTAATTGGTTTGGGTAACCTGATCGGTCGGTTCGGTTCGGTTCCAAACCAAAGTACCTATCAATCGAACAGATCAATTTTTTATATAATAAATATATACAATATACAATATATTTAAATGTCTTAAGTAAGGTTTGAACTTTTAACCACCGCTTTTGAAATCAAGAGCTTTACCCATTAAACTATAAGCATATTTACATTAATGTTTACATGTTTATGTTAATAAAGGTATACATTTTTTATTGAATGTTGTACACTTCAATTGTAATAGACAAAATTATCCCTACTACATTATTTTTAGACTAAAATACCCTTATACCATTATAACACCGCTACTATTTAATTCTAAAACTTTCATAATTCTATCAATATTATCATACACCTATATCTAATTATCTATGATATCTTTTTCCTATTCTTTAATTACCCTTTTATTAAAATCATTATATAATTAGTTTAATTGTTGATTATATTTTAATTAAATTTCTATGAATAGTAAATCATATATGCGTGTATATGTATATATAGGCACGCACACACACCAATATATGTGACCGGTTACTGTACTAGATTAGTATTATAAATATTTTATTTATTTATTTGTTCATCTCTATAGTTTTCAAATACGATGATTAAAATTTACTAATTTAAGGAATTGCGAAATATAATTTGGACTATAATTTGTAATTATTTGCATTTATCAATTTTTTAATGTTGGACATAAATTTTCGCACATCACTCATACAAAATCCTAGTATTATATATACATAGTATAATAATTAATATATAATTTCAACTCCTCAAGTCCTCAGATCTCAACTCTAAGTCGTAAGTCCCAAACATTTGGTATTTTAATAATCCTTATTTTTCAAATATTAACTATAAATGGATGATTCTTCATATTGTCATCAACAAAACACTTCAAGTGGCACTCCAAGTGAGCCAATTGAACAATCGGTCACGCAAAAAAAAAAAAAAAAAAAAAAAAAAAAAAAAAAAAAAAGGAAACGTTCAAACAGTGGACTTCCATCAAAATCGAACCGAATATCGAACCGAAACCGAACTCTATATTAAACCGAATGGTTTAATTTTTTTAAAACCGAAAAACCAAAATCGAACCGAAACCCGAAGTGCCCAACCCTCATTTTTATCCCCATCCCCGTTAAGACAGGAGAAGAGTCGGGTTCCCATCGAGTGCCGGTACAGTCAACGTCTACGATCAACAATGTAAGATATATTAAATATAATATATATATTATATATAATATATCTATGTATTTATATATAATAATATATAAATAGGAAGAGAGAGAGAGAAAGATTAGAATGAATAATGTTTATTCACTGGGATAATTTAACAAATGAAAATATACCACATATTTATACTAAGAGAAAGCTAATAAATAGGAAACTAATGCTCCATGTACTACTCCTATAATTTAGGCATGTTCCACATTAACATACATGACTCACCCATGTTTGTTTTTATTAAATTCTTTGACTTGGTTTAACTACTAATAATATTAATTATTATAACATTGTCTCCTTTAAACCAAGTTGGACATATTGGTCATCCCAATTTCCTTCTTCAATTTGAAAAAAATGTCTCCGTCTTCAAGTTGGATATACTGACTTGTATTTCGTTTTGTAAACCCACTTGACTCCAATTGGCTTCTTCCCAGGAGGTAAATCTTTTAATTCCCAGGTACCATTCTTTTCAATAGCACGTATCTCCTCATCCACCGCCTTAAGCCAATGAGTTTCTGTAGCAGCCTCCTCAAAAGTTAAAAGATCACAATCTGCAAAGAGAGCAAATTGAATAATCTCTTCATCAAACAGGTCATTATCATGACCCAAAACATAATCTTGCAAGCGAGCTGGTAAGTGGCGTTCGCGCTGAGATCGCCGAACTGACGACTCTGGCTGTGAAGGAGACTGGACATTATCTGGAATCGGTTGCACTTCAACAATATTTTCAACAGCAGGAATAACAACTGAACTTTCATCTTTAGCTAACCAATCCCAGGCACCATATTCATCAAAAGTGACATCACGACTTATAACAACCTTTTTAGTTTCAGGATTGTATAGTTTATAAGCCTTTGAAGCGTCACTATAACCAATGAATATGCATTTCTCACCTTTATCATCCAACTTCTTTCTCAATGGATCCGGCACATGTGCATATGCCAAACATCCAAAAACCTTGAGATATTTGATAGAGGGTTTTCTCCCACTCCATGCTTCTTCGGGTGTCTTATCCCGGACACTCTTAGTTAGACACCTATTCAACACATAGACAGCACAAGCAACAGCTTCTGCCCAAAAAGGCTTAGGCAGATTCTTGGATTTCAACATGCACCTTACCATATCCATGATAGACCTATTCTTCCTCTCAGCCACTCCGTTTTGTTGTGGAGTGTATCTAGCTGTCATCTGATGTTGAATATCCTTCTTCTTTAGAAAATCATCACAGGCAATATATTCTGTACCTCTATCAGTTCTCAAGATTTTAATTTCATAACCACTCTGCTTTTCAACAAAAGCCTTAAATTGTTTGAAAACATCACATGCTTCAGACTTTTGCTTCAGAAAGTAAACCCATGTTTTCCTACTGAAATCATCAATGAAAGTAATAAAGTACTTACAACCTCTATGTGAGGGAACCTCCAACGAACACAGGTCTGAGTGAACAATCTCCAACTGTTTTGTAGCTCTCCTTGACTTGCCCACGGGAAAGGGATCTCTATGCTTCTTCCCAATCACACAAATCTCACATATACGATCAGGGACATTCACAACAGGTAAATCAGAAACAAGTTCCTTTCTCGCAAGATAGTTTAACCCAGAGAAATGGAAATGCCCAAACCGCATATGCCATAACCAATTATCATCACAAACTTCAGAATTAAAGCAATCAAAGAGAGTATGCTTAGTTTTCAAAGGAAATAGTCGATTTTGGGACATATTTACCTTTGCAATCAAAACTCCTTTAGCATCTTCAATGGTACAACACCCCTGAGCAATATGTATCTTATATCCTTTTTCTGACAACTGACCCAAACTCAACAAATTTTGGTGTACTTCAGGAACATAGAACACATCGGATATAAAATTGTGAGTACCATCCTTCAACTGAATAGAGATTTTACCTTTTCCCAAAATTGGCACCTTTGACTTATTGCCAAATGTTACTTCAGACCGGACTGATTCATCTAGTTCGGAAAACAATTCTTTCTTCCCACACATATGGTTACTACACCCAGTATCCAAGAACCATATGTTCTTATCAGCGGAAAAACTATCACTGGCTAAAAGTAAGGTTTCAGAATTCTCACCAGACTTTTCAGCAGTATTTTCAGCAATGTTTGCTTGATTTCCACGATTGTTGTCCTCATTATACCAACAATCTGCAATCTTGTGTCCATACTTGCCACAATTGTAGCAATGAAATGGAAATTTACCTTGTTTGGTATTACCTTCACCTCTTCCTTGGTTGGAGTTACCACGTCCTCCTCCTTGGTTGAAGTTACCACGACCTCTTCCACTAGAACCTCCTCTTCCTCTTCCACGACCTCTACCAGATCCTCCACCTCTTTGATTAGTGCCAGTCACATTAAGGGTGACTTGACTCTTCAAAGCTTCTTCTGCTAGTGGTTCCGATTTTGACGCAATCCTGTCAATATGACTTTCTACCATACCTTTCAGCTCTGCAATTGATAAGAGCTCGATTTTGTGTGACTCTGTGATCGAAGCCACCACATGGTCATACTTCATCGGCATAGTTCGAAGAACTTTTTCAACCACTGCACCATCTTCAATCGTATCTCCATATAGCCTCATCTTATTCACTATATCAATAAGACGAGTGAAATACGCATCTACTGTTTCTGTAGAGGTCATCTCACAATTATCGTACAACCTTCTCAACGACTGCAACTTAGACTTCTGTGACCGATCGACTCCTTTGTGTGACACCTTTAAGATGTCCCAAGCTTGTTTTGCTGTTTGAGCACGAGCTAATTGCCCAAAAACGGAATAATGAACACCTTGGTGAATCTAACCCAAGGCCAATTTATCTCGTCATATAGCGGCTGCATCAGCTCCTTCGGGTAGACCGGGATCAACAAAGCTCCAAAGATTTTGAGCTTGCAAATGTGTGGACATCATAATTTGCCAATAATTGTAATCGAGTTTCTCGTCCAATTTGGGACCCGACCATACAATATTGAAATTTGTTGCCATATTTCACTACGGGAAATATTTCGGGGTTGAAAGGTTGAATTGACTGGCTTTGATACCAAATGTAAGATATATTAAATATAATATATATAATATATATATTATATATAATATATCTATGTATTTATATATAATAATATATAAATAGGAAGAGAGAGAGAGAAAGATTAGAATGAATAATGTTTATTCACTGGGATAATTTAACAAATGAAAATATACCACATATTTATACTAAGAGAAAGCTAATAAATAGGAAGCTAATGCTCCATGTACTACTCCTATAATTTAGGCATGTTCCACATTAACATACATGACTCACCCATGTTTGTTTTTATTAAATTCTTTGACTTGGTTTAACTACTAATAATATTAATTATTATAACAAACAAATGTTGTGGTCCCTAAATATTTCCACATACGTTTTCAACATAGCTAATGATCATATGACATTGAGAATTTGAGATCGATGGACAACTAACAAATCACAATACTGAATTTCAATGAGAGAACAATATAATGCATTATTATTTGTAATAGAAAATGAATTGGTGAGAAAAGAAACACTTGAAACCCCCTATAAGCTTCTAAGCCCATCGGCAAAGATGGCAGCAAAAGCTTCCATTTTAGCTCTGGGCATTGCCAACCCAACCTCAATATCACCTTCTGAATCCCTGCACATACAAAGAGAGATTGAATTTCCGCCATCAATGGACACAAATTCCACCTTCTCCGCCTTTCCCCACCCGAAATCTGCACCATATAAGTCCATTCTTGGATATCCGGCAACGGCAACTATCCGCCGCGGATCTGCTCCTTTAAACTCCGATAACCAGAATTCCTCCCTCAATATCCACTCCTCATCGTTCACGCTTTTCCGAATTGCTTCTCCGATCAATTCCGCCGCCGTTACGAACCCTTCGCTCCCAACTAACGCTCCGTTTCTTGATTTCGCAAAGCGGCAGCCGACCACACAGTTGCCGAAGAAGCTAGCCGGAAGCGGCGGGTTCAGCCGGCTCCGGCAATCCGCTACGCAGCAGAAATACTCCGTTCTTTTCTCCTCCTCCTCCGTTTGCCCCCCTATCGCCGCCTCGGCTTTCAACCAACAAGTCCATATATAAGCACATGTCACAGTGAAACCTGATACGTAGTAATCAACTCCTCTCCGGGCTGCGAACAAATTCTTGAGGTTTTCAATGTCTCTCCGGCGCATGATATACGTAGCCCGAACTTTATCGATTCTCGGGGTTGAAATTTCAGCCTCGGACGGCTCAACCTTAATCTCTTTCTTGATTTCTTCGAACATTATATCCCCTGTCCTGTATGGGTCTTTGATGATTGTCCGGTCACAAAAAGGGACAGATTTCTCCGCTATGAATTCTCCATCTCCGCCCAGTTTACTGATCATAGCCCAGGCCCTAGCGAAGCTGGCCATGGCGTTTCCATCTCCGACAACGTGGTGGTGGGTGGTGCCAATACATATCCCAAAGCCCGGAAAAAGTGTCACTTGAACAGCTAAAACGGGGAATATTTTACAAGTCTCCCCACCTTTTGGCTCTGGTAATTTGGCTACGAAAGGGTAAAAATCATTCACGTCACGGGGATGATAGCCCGTGAGTGAATCGAAGTCGCCGCTGGACTCCATGAATGTGACAGAAACAGAGTCTCCGGGCACATACCGGAGCTCCGGCTTGGCGCTACAATCGGAAGGAGAAACCAGGTTGCCGGCGAGGGGAAGAAAGTGTTTGAGAGTTAGGGAGAGGGAGGTTACTAGATTTGGGATTATGGTTTCAGTGAAAGTATCTGTGGAAATGGGAAGTCTGTAGAATAGAAGGCGTCTCATGATCCGGAAGTAAAACAGCCATGGCATGTCAAATAAGGTCAGAGGGAGTGACGTCTCGCCGGCGTTGCCCGCCGGCGCTACTTCACGGTGGCTGATCTTCACAGTTGCCGTTGAAGATCGGAAAGCCGCCATCATATCAGTCAACATGTTAGATAGCCATGAGCGAATGAGCTTTATATTAAAGTTATAAATTAATGCGTTTTTTAGATTAATTAATTAGATAATGTTTTAATAAAGTGATATTCTGATGCCTTTCAAAAAAAAAAAAAAAAAAAAAGTGATATTCTGATGACTTCACGTGGTTTATAAAATCAAGGGGCCAATTGTGAATTGTTTATTTATTTTTTATTTTTTTTTTTTTGGAAATCATAACTTCATTAATTCAAATCAAAATAGAGTTAATTCCAGCAATGGTCCTCCGACTATAGTGATTTTTTAAAATTAGTCTTCGACTTTTAATTTGAACACTTTAGGTCGCTTGACTTTCAATTTCTTTCCAATTGAGGTCCTTTCGTTAGAATACGGTTCATTAGATTTTAAATGAAAGGGTAAACTCGTCCTTTCACCTGCCTATGTATTATTCTTCGTATTTCGCTGTTATACCTTGTAAACATCTCAATAATAGAGGAACGCATGCACACATGAGTAGTCAGCAAATGGGAAACGACGAGGAACATTTTAGGGTTTCGACTAAGATTATCTTCATATATATCGCGTATACAATGGAGAAATACTAAGAATAATACATAGGCAGGTGAAATGATGAGTTTACCCCTTCATTTAAAATTCAATTAACCGCATTCTGACGAAAGGACCTCAATTGGAAAGAAATTGAAAGTCAAGGACTAATTTTAGAAAATCAATATAGTCGGAGGAATATTGCTGGAATTAACTCAATCAAAATACGAGTCTTTGACAATAAAAGAAGGAGAGACCATAATCTACTCCGTACACACAGTCATAAAACCAGCTTCTCTAGTTAGATTATGGGCAATTTTATTCGTAATGCGACTAACATGAGAGATATCTACTTGTGTGAATGAAAGTAACATATCTTTAATAACGAGAAAGACAAAATCAAAAGAAAGATTGTCAATGAAAGTAGCATATTTTTAATATCAAGAAGGACAAGATCAAAAGAAGAGGCATCAACAGTACGGTTTAAGCTATGGACAATATGGAGGGCATCGCATTCAACTTGGATGTTTCTGGTTCCCTGTCCCTTAATCCATGTAAGGACTTCTCTTATGGCAATAGCTTTGCCTCCTTCAGTTTCTCCCTTTTTTGCTCCGGCCTTCCAATATTTGCAAAATGGACAACGTCACCCCCACGATGTTTTTCCAATCAACCAGATAACACTTCGTGGCTTCAAACATGATATTAATTCAAATCGGCAGACAAAGCATTAATTACAAATAATGTTGAGAGGATTATAGAATCACTCCGAACAATCAGACATAGAAAAGATTGTCTATGCAAATTTATGGGCTGCCTGATTCACAGATGGATGGCCTAATAAACACTAATAAACTAGCGTGAGCAAATCCACTCAAGAAGTTTTTAATCTCAATTAAAACTAAATGAAAAGAGGATTCTCCCATAGTTGAGCTTAGGCCTTGGACCACCTGTAAGGAGTCAGTCTCCACAATAACATTGTCAAAATTATGCGATTCCAATCATCTTAAGGACTCTCTTATGGTTAGTGTCTCCGCCTCCTTGGAGCTATAGTGACTTCTCCACTGTGATCCTCTTGCTGCAACGAATCTGTCCAGATCGTCCCTCAAAATACAACTGAATCCCATCTTGGCCTGTTGCACGTCTATTAACGTGTAACGTAACGTTCAATTTCATAAAACCTTGAATTGTGAATCTAAGAAAGAGACAGAGTTATGATATCATTGATATGGAACCATGTAAGGAAATTGACAACAATTATTTGTTGTCAATTTCCATGCATGTGGTTCCATATCAACAACATTAAAATATATATATTATATTATATTTATTATTTTAAGTTTTCCTGGAAATGGGAAGCCCCTAGAACAAAAGTCATCGCATGATTAGACGGAATAACAGCCAATCAACCATGGCATGTCAAAGGGGAAAACGAAAGCGTTGGTGTATAAGAAAATCATAAGAGAATACCTTCTATATCAAAAATTTGATGAGTTTGTAGCTAATGTAGTCCTTGTTCATAATCTATCATCCATTAACCAATTAATAAGCTACTTGCACTCACACAATTTTTTTTAGCTAATGTAATATTGATATAGGAATACTAATTTTTTTCCCCTTTACCATCATTCTTTCTCTGAAATACCAACAAATTTTTAATGATTTTTAAATTTTTTTTAAATTAATTTGTAATTTTTTGGTAAGTCATAATTATTGTAGAGGAGGTGTGGTGTTTATGAAGAAATGGTTGTGGAAGATGAGAAGCTTCTATATCCTCCTCTAGATTTGGAGAAGGGTGAAAGTTTTCACCAATTGCTATAGAAAGCTAGAATGCTCCAACTTTATCCTCTTGTGATTTTTCCTTAACTGTGAAAAATCCTTACAGGACAAAATTTTCTAGCTAATGAGGTGTTGATGTAGACATACTATTTTTTTTCCCTTTATCATCATCCTTTCTCGGCTCTGAAATATCAACAAATTTCTAGTGATTTTTTAATTTTTTGAAAATTAATTTGTAACTTTTTAACAAGTCATAATTGTTGTAGAGGATGAGTCGCGTTTATGAAGGAATGGTTGCGGAAGATGAGAACCTTCTGTCCTTGTCTAGATTTGGATGGAGGAGAATGAAAGTTTTCACTTATTTCTACAGAAGACTAGAATGTTTCAACCTTATTCTCTTGGAACAATCATGTCCATTGGTGTTCTTCATTCTTTGTTTTATTTTTATTTTTACAAATGTAAACAAACAAACAAAAAAACAAACCAAAAAAAAAAAAAAAAAAACTATATCATAACAAAAACTATGTTATATGGATCCCTAAGTATAGTAATTTTGTCATGTTTAGTCTTAAACTTTTAAATTTTTACCATTCATTATTCAAGTTAACCACCCGTGGCTCTTCAACTTTAGTGGCGGAGCTATGTTGAATTGAGTGGGGTCAATTGACGCCACTCAAATTTTATTGTTTATTATATTATATATACATATATATTTCGAGAAATCTTAAAATTGACCCCATTAAAATAAATATAATAGGGGTCAACATATAAATAAAAAAAAAATTCTCAAAATATAATAATATAAATTTTACTCTTTGTTTCATGAGAACCGAAAATGAAAATCATAGAACAAGAGTGGAAACTGAGAATTTAATAAGTCCCCCTAATTTTTTTATTTTTCAAATAACTTTTCATCTCTTCTTACAATAGCTATGTGGTTTCAAAGTTGAGTTCAAAACTGTACTCAAACATTTTTTGTTTTGCTTTACTTTCTAAAATTACTTTATTTGCTAAATGATGTTGGAAGCTCTTGTAAACACTATAATATCCTTAATGTGCGCTTTAACTCTACATTTTTCAATATCGAAGAGGTTAGTTCTCTTGCTGGAAAACTAGTAGAGACAAAGAAAAATAATGCATATCCCTTAATTTTTTTACTTGTGAAATTAGCTTTAATATTACTGGTGACAATTGAAAGTGTTGAAAGTGTTTTTTTTTAATTATTTTTTATTAATGTAATGAAGATAGTGAAGAATAACGTGATGAATGATTATTTGGTTACTTTTATTGAGGGTGATGTGTTTGAATGCTGATAGGGAATATATTCCGGTTTTGACTTCCCTATACGTTTGTGCTCTCGTTTTGTAGTCAAGTCGGGATTAAACGGTTCGAGTCATGGTCAAGTCAGCGGGTCAAGTGCCTATATAAAGGCCACTGGCCCTTCGTTGTAGGGGGCTTTTGCCTTTTGGACTATCTCTCTATAAGGTACAAGAACAACAATGAATAAAAGAACCTTTTGAGCTAAATTCTCCTATCTACTCTCTATTCTCTATACATTCTGCACACACTACAATACACAGAAAATATACATAGAAGGAATTAGTTCTATCAAAAGCATTCTTGATAAAGAAAAAATTATAAAACGTTTCCAAAGTATGAAAACGTGTCATGGACAATTGTAAAATGAAGACGTTTATTTTTAAATGTCATTTATATTTATATTTTTATATTATCGAAATTAATATTAAATTTAATATATTGACCCCACTGAATTTGGATCATGACCCCACCATTATTCAACTTTAAAATTTTATCGATCGTGGTTCTTTTGGAAGTTTACATAATATTTGACTATTTATTTTTATGGCTCATTTTTTTTGCTTCACTATACTATATCATAGACCTACATGAACCTACCCCAAGACTCATAAAATAGGTATGTAACTCATCCGACTCAATGTTACAGATTAAACTAAAAGAGTATTGACAAGAATTGATCTCGTAACTATATCAAGTACAATAATCATGCTCCACCCACTTAACCACTCATTTTGGGCTATTGATATCATTACTGTTAGGAAAAAAGATTAAATTAATCCTTGAAGACTTGAAGTCCATTGAATAGTGTAATTGTGCTACCCAAATAAAAAAGGTTTCAATGAGGTATTAAACTGGTAAAATAGTACAATTATATATATTTTTTAAATTTTTTCATGGTATTAATAAAATACTTGGTAAATAAATATATAGCATTATTTTGTATTATAACTTTGATATTTAACACGGTTACAATAGGCGCTAGGCGCTAGTCGGGCGTCCGAGCAGCGCCTAGCGCTTAGGCGGCGCCTAGGCAGAATCTAAGCGGCACTAGGCGGGCCCCAAAAAAAATAAAATAAATAGTGACAGACTTGTCGTTTGACAATTTTAATGAGGTTATTTTCAACATTCAATCAAATAACACATCCAGATAATTGAAATAATGATAATTTATAAGTCATAACATCATAATAATATTAAAATCAATAATTAATGAAAGACGACATCAGACAAAATCAGTCAAAATCGGACGAAATCGGTCAAAACCGGATGACTGAGCCGATTTTGGCCGTAGGCGGCCAGCCGAGGAATGGCCACCTACACCCAAAAACGGCACGGCATGGCGGCGCCTAGCGCCTAGG